CGTGGGCCACAGCGCCGATGTGCCGAGTTCTAACCGAAGCCGTGCCCTGCTTGCACAGGAGCCCAGGCCCGAAATCCTCCCTAGAGATTTTCCAAACAGCCTGCCTCCAACATGATGCCTCTGTCGTGCCCAATTTGCGAGTCCCCAGAGACCCCCCCCAAGGAGCCGACACCGATGCAAGTACAAAAGGGTCTTTATTACAAGCTCGAGCAGGGGCTCACCCGCCTACCAATGTAGTGGCAGCAGGGTGAAGCCAAGAACAATAGCGAGCAGGGTTTTTATGGGGTCAGGGACGGGGGTGTTACAGTGCACACGTTGTACGTATAGCATCATCACATAAGCACCAATCATAATTGTACAGCACCCATGGTAACAGCTTTGACCATTCAGTATCTGTGAGGTGTTCATTACTTTTGGTGGGACCCAAACATGACTTTTGAGAATGCTTTGAAAATGACCAATTATGAGGTGAGTTCAAAGGGCCCACGTGGGGTTCAGGCAAGCGGTGAGAAATTGGCTAGTTTGTACAGAAGAACTGTCTACAGTTCCCAACCTTGACTCAGACCACAGGAATGTTTTTTGATTAGCTGACCTGAGGGCGGTCTGAGGATGGCTTTAGCCTTGAGCAATCTGAGGAACTGGGGCTACGTGCAGCCCGAGGTTGCTCTTAATGGAGGCCTTAATTTCAAAATGACGTTACTTAGGCTCTTCACCTCTACTTGCCCTAACTGGAGAGATGGCTCCCCTAGCTTTGTCCCTCGCTTTTAGCTTTCTTGTTTCCTTTCACTGAGTCCCTGCCTCTTTGTACATGTTCATGTGCCACCGTCTGTCTGCCTCACCCCGACTCCGTACCCAGCGCTTCGTACTGGTGGGGAGGAGGAGTGATGTTCATTTTTTTCCTGACTAAAAGGGTAATAGATGCTCATCTTTTACATGCTTTTGTATCTTCGTATAGATACGAAGATATAAAAAAGAAAGCACCAATCGCCCATGATCCCACAGCTTAAAGATGTCACTATTAACATCTCGGTGTACTTCCCTGTGGGACTTTTCTCTAGGCGTGGACATATCTTTTGGTATCTTAGGTTGTGGTCCCCTTTTTTTGTGACATAATGTTAACATGTTGCCATAGCATTAGAATGTCTTCAAAAACATGACCACTAATGCATGTATAACACTATATGAATGTATTTTGTTTTGACCATTACTCCTATTGCTGTAAGTTGTATTTTTTTTTTTTTTACTGATATAAGTATTTCTGCGTTAAGTGTCTTTGTACATAATTATTTGTGTGGTTCTCTGATTAGTTCTTTGGGGATAGGTTCCCAAGGGGAATTCCTAGGTCAAAGGGCACACATGTTCTAAGACTGTTAGCGTGTACTGACAAATATCCTCCATGGAGTTTTTAACAATGTTAACACGGGTATAGATCTGCATAATGGTTGCCATATCCAGATAGGGAACAATTCTATCACCCTCATAACTTACCTTCTGCTACCCCTTTACAGTCATTCCTTCCCCTCTGCATGACCCCTACAAGGTTATGGAATATTTAATTCCATTCTGTGGAATTAACTGGTTATTCTCAGCTAATCACCTTAACAGCATCTGGAAACCCCCAAGTTAAAATTACTCCCACAAGGACCCTGCTAGACACCAGGGCTCTGCTAAATAGGCAGGTGAGATGCACCTTCCATTCTAGAGAGGAAATTCGAGGACCAGTTAGGAGGTCCAGCTGGCAAGCAGCCCAGAACCTAGTGAGGGTTAGGAGGTTAAGTGCCTTCCAATGGGATCATGTGGCTCTGGACAGTGGTTCTCAAACTCTACCATGTGGCAGAACCTGGAGATTTCACTGAAACACAGATTCCTAGTTGCCACCACCTGAGTTTTCTGATTCAGTAGATCCGTGGCAGGGACGAAGAATTTCTGACAAGTTCCCAAGGCTGTTGTTGTGGCTCCTTTGGGGACCACATTTTGAGAACTGCCACTGTAAGGCAGAGAAAATATTGAGATGAGATGAACAATATCGCATCTATATCACCCAGCACAGTGGGAAAGGGCCTCTTAAAGTGTTGCAGGGATTGGCTCTTGCAGGTTGAGGGGCTTGTTAGAGATAAACTTGCAGCTTGAGGTGTTTTGTGTTTCCAGGAGGGCAGACAGCACAGGAAGGAAAGGCTAGAAAGTGGGTGGGATGGCCCCTTTTCAGATGACTCAGTGTCACTGGAATTCTTGCATTATTGGAGGTCTCTTAAGCATAGGGAATAACAGGGATATCAGGTGATGCCATTCTCATTTAAAGTGGCAGAATCTGTAACTGTCAAACTGAAAGTCTATGCTGCAGAATCCATTTTCTCGTTTTAAGGTTAGCTTTCTTTGAGGAGTAATGAAAATAAGGCCCCTATATTAATACACCACATTCAAATTTACAAAGTGCTTTCACATGATATTTGTTTGGTCTCCCAAATTCTGTGAGGGAAACAGGGCAGTATTTTTATCCCATCCCTTTTTTATAATTTAAATTTTAGTTAACATGGAGTGCAATACTGGTTTCAGGAGAAGAATTCAGTGATTCATCATACATACAACACCTAGTGCTCATCACAACAAATGCCCTCCTTAATGCCCATCACCCATCTACCCCATCCCCCACCCACCTCCCTCTGTCAACCCATAGTTTGTTCTCTGTCATTGAGAGTCTCTTATGATTTGTTTCCCTCCCTTCTCTTCCCCCCATCCCACATATTCATCTGTTTTTTTCTTAAATTCCACATGAATTAAGTCATATGGTATTTGTCTTTCTCTGACTTGTTTCGCTTAACATAATACATTCTTAGCTCCATCCACATCATTGCAAATGACAAGATTTCATTCCTTTTTATGGCTGAATAATATTCATTATTCATGTGTGTGTGTGTGTGTGTGTGTACATTTCTTTAATCCATTCATCAGCGATGGACATTGGGGGTGTCTCCATAGTGTGGCTATTATTGATAATGCTGCTGTACACACTGGGGTGCATATACCCCTTCAAATCTGTATTTTTGTATCTTTTGGGTAAATACCTAGTAGTGCCATTGCTGGACTGTAGGGTAGTTCTATTTTTAGTTTTTTGAGGGACTTCCACACTGTTCTCCAGAGCGGCTGCACCAGTTTGCATTCCCACCAACAGTGCAAGAGGCTTCCCCTCTGTCCCCATCCTTTGGACTGTTGGTTCTCCATGTATGATCCTTGGACCTGCAGCGTTAGTATCACCTGGGAACTTGCTAGAAATGCAATTGCTGGCCCCACCCCAGACCTATGGAATCAGGTCTTGAGGGGCCAATAATTTGCAGTTTTAAGATGTTCCCAGATGCTGCTGATGCTGGTGCTGCTGGTCCTGGAGCACGCTTGGATGAAAACACCCCTATAGATTAAAATGAAAGATCTAAAAGCCCAGGGATTTGTGTTAAGAAAACTCCTACCTAGGTGCTTTTTCCTTTTCTGTCTTCTTCTTTTTTTTTTTTTTTTTAATATTTTTGAGTGAGAGAGACAGAGCATGAGTGCAAGAGGGGCAGAGAGAGAAGGAGACACAAAATCCGAAGCAGGCTCCAGGCTCTGAGTGGTCAGCACACAGCCTGACATGAGGCTCGAGCCCACCAACCGTGAGATCATGACCTGAGCCAAAGCTGAACGCTTAACTGACTGAGCCACCCAGGTGCCCCCCTAGGTGCTTTTAATACTATTACACCTGTTACATCCCAGCGCTCCCCCCCCCCCGCCCCCGCAGGAAAATCGTTCCAATCCTAGCAACTCTGCTTATGAGTTTGAGGCTCTCGGCAATTACTCTAGATTGCAATTTCCTCACCTGTGAAATGAGATTACTAATAGGATCAACTCTGGGTTCTAATGAAGATTAAACAAAATCTGGGTAAAGCACTGTGCCTGTGCTTTAGAAATGGTAGCAACTGCCATGATGTTTATTAATGTTATTATAAGTGTGATATTTCACTAGAACAAATACCTTTGTAAGTTCTTTAAGTTGTGTCTTCAGAACGCAGCTCTTACAATGGGAGTTATTCATGGGTGATTTAGACATTAAGGCACATCATCCACCCCAAGTGGAATGTTTGTGTGATTGCCATGAACATTTGGCTGAGAGCAGGGTGGTTAGAAAATGGGACCCAGGACTGGTAAAATGGGAGCAGAGGAATAAGAGACCAGTGTATGAAACAAGACTTCATTGAGGAAATTCAGAATAGCCGGGGAGAGAGAGGAGTGGCTGAGGGAGGAAGCAACTGGGAGGCGGGTTGTCAGACAATCTACCCCCTTCAAAATTCCTCCCAGGGCAGCCCCAGGGGCAGTATCTGGAGCTACACCAGGCCTCAGGGGGGCTGCCAGTGCTCTTGTTGCAGTCAAGGGATTGAACACTCAGGTGCCCACAATGAATGCCCTGGGGGGCTCTCCGAGGCCAGCTGGCAATGGTGGGCACCGGGAGTTTGGGCCCAAATGCTGCTTTGTCTTCAGGGTGACTCCTCTTTAGCAAAATTCTGACTATAGCCCATCAAACACTCCTGCCAGGGACATGGTCCTTTTCTTAGTGGAGGTCTGCTACGACCTTCCTCGAGGAGTTCCAGGCCCCTCAGGAAGCGGTTTTATCTTATCTGGGTAGTGCAGCGCGGGTCCCTTGCCCCGCACGGACAGAGACCTTTGCAACTGAATAAAGCAGAAGAAACAAAAGCAAGTTCGGGCCCCGTGGGCACGGCCGGCCAGCCAATGGGGCCCTGCCGCTCCCCGGCGGAGTGGTACTATGATGACAGTAGCCAACCAGCGCGCTCCATGCAAATGAGGTACTGTATCCCGCATCCGCCGCTCCAGCGCAGTCTGGTTGTTATAGTGATAAACTGAGGCCTTGCCTTTTGGCTTCTCAGGGAGGGAAACCGGAGGGGGTGCGTGGTGGTGGGGGGGGTGCCCTCTTCACTTCCCCCAGGGAAGACAGAAAGAAGGGGCGAAGAAGGGGGATGGGTGAAGAAGAGAAAAATACGTGACAAAGAAAACATTCTCTGCCTGGGAGGAGACTCACAGAGGGTGTAGAGCTGGAGAGAGCATTCACTGGCCATGCCAGTACTTACCACTGATGCTGAGTCAGAAACAGGTATCCCAAAATCCCTTTCCAATGAGCCTCCCTCAGAAACCATGGAGGAAATAGAGCACACATGCCCACAGCCTCGACTGGTAAGTAAAGACAAAGGATGCAAATGTTATGCTTGGCTATGGCACAAAAGAGTTCCTTCTGCGCCTGCAGCCAGCGAGGAAAACGATGCTTGGAGGATTTTCATGTAAATGAGAATGGAGCTACCGCCTAATCCTTCTCAGCTGTTTATACTTAGCTTCTATACCGGGCGCTGCTCTCAGCTTACAAAGCATTATTGTATTGGCTGGGTAGGAAACGGGCTGTTTGGGCTATGCTGTTTTTCTGCCTTGGGAGGAGGGGGGCCTTTTTCGTTTTAGGTGTCTTCTCGTCTGAGGATAAAAATCCTACAGTGCGTTTAAAAATGGTATTCGCTTCGCAAAGCTTGGGACGAGTCCGTTGTTAAGTTATAAATTCTAGCTGAGAAATGATTCGGTCCCCAACTCATTTTGGTGCCTAATGCCAATTTTGGAAAAATGAGAACGATACGGAAGCAAAACTTCCCCCATTCGTTTGAACATTTCAAAATAAGTAAGTAAAAGAGTCCCTCAGTGATGCATTTAGAAGGTGCATTTTAAATGAATCCTAAGCTTTTCCAGAGTGTGCTGGGAGGGTTTGTCTTCAGAGAGTGGGAACCTGGGGAAGCTACCTTTACTACTTAGAAACGGGTTGTATGCCTTTAATAATGAAAGTGTGGAAACGGGGCGCTCAGAGCTTCCTTCCATCTCAGTGACCGGCATCCCAAATTTGATGAGTTTTTCTGCTTCTGTGCATGATTATTTTAGCAGGTGTGGAAGATGGTTCTCAACCACCTGAGCGTATATCCCCAAGGTATCAAAAACCCCAAATGGGTAGTGGGTTTTCAGTGGCCTGAGGTCCTGGGAAACTTGGAGGGACCTCTCTTTGAACCCTCAAGTTCAAGTGACACAGTAGTTAGAGCAATCCCTTTTATAGCCATCCGCCCCAAGTTAAAAGGTGCAATATTTTGATTGGCTATGGAGTTTGACCCTGGGAAGAGGTTTTTAAGAAAGTGTTTGTGAGGTAGCATTTTCTGTGAACTTCCTAAATGAAGGCTCACAGATTGCAAGCCCATCATGGAAGTGCTTTTTCTTCCTAAGGGTTACCAGGGTTCAAAGGCAGGCTTACAACTTCCAAAAACAAAAAAAAACACAGGAAATTAGAGTGCTGTAGGCATTTGTTCCCTGTTTGTTTTTTATAAAGTATATTTTCTTAGGACAGTTTAATATTAGCGTGTCCCGCATTTGAGCCGCTTACCGAATGGCACACATGATGTAGTGCCTATGTTCTCATGGGATGTAAACCATTTCAGTAAGTGTGTTACCACAGGATTCCTTTGAGCCACTAAGCAACTCCTGATTTAGCATTGAAAAAACAACACAAATAATAAAGCCTGTAACAAAGATGGTCCAAAATATATTTAAAGTGAAACCCAATGTTGAAATTTGCACCGCATACCTTCCGGACAGGTAAAGGGCAGGGGAGAGAGAGACAAGCATCAAATTCCAGTTTGTATAGTTTGTCTCTCCTGCTCACTTCTTTTCCTTCCCTTTTTGCCTTTTAACTGTTCTGCTCCTTGGTCACTTCTGCCCGAGAGGGTGAGCAGGGGAAGTCAAGGGAAGGAAGAAAGTTGTAGTACTTGACACTGTCACTTGTGACCTCTCGTCTTCGAGGTGGCTCTAAAGAGTCCTGCAAAGCCGGCAAGGTTACATCTGCACCTCCATGCTGTTTAGAAATAAGGAAACGGAGATTCAGAGAGGGTGAGTGACTTCCCCAAAGCCACACTGCTTCAAAGGGGTTGAGCTGGGAATTGAAGATCCCAAGTGGCGCTTCACACACAACCTGGAGTGAGGCACATTCCCTTCCTGTCTCCCCCCCCCCCCGCCGCTTCTAGCTTGAAGTGTGTGTGTGTGTGTACGGAAGGTGAACTGGTAAAGTGATGGCTTTGATCTACCTTTGATTTTAAAAACTTTCCATGTTTTCTGTCATTATCAGGGGCTACTGAAAATTTGTTCTGTTTAAATCAGGGCTGCAGCCAATTTATAATCCCTTATTCAGTTTTTAGAAACCCCTCTTCTCAGCAAACTTCAATGTCTGTCGGGATATATTCTAAGTTTGGATTTACACTTCAGAGCTGGAGTTTCCCTTGCAGTGATTATACTTGAATAGCTAAGGCTCAACAAAGCTTGTTGAAGAGAGAGTGGCAAGTGACAATGTTAAGTAGCATTTCTTTTTATGATCTTTAGTAGTTTCTGTTGATCTTTAGCTTTGCTAATATCCTCAAATTTCAAATTGTATAAATTCTTTGTTTCGCCCAACACCCACCCATAATGATCAGACTCACACGTGGGTCACTGACATTACAGTTGTCAATAGGGTATGACTGCTGAGTTCCACAGTTATTAAAGTTCATGAAAAACTTAAGAGGTTCCCCTTCAGAGGACAGGCTCCTTCTCCCACTTATTATCAAACTTGAATTCATACAGTTTAGAGGAAACAGGACTCAATAACAAAACGTCATCTTAAAGTAGTGGTGTGCCGGGTGTCTCAGTCAATGGAGTATCTGAATTTTTATTTCAACTCTGGTCATAATCTCGTGGCGATCGTGAAATTGAGCCCTGCTACATGCTCCGTGCTGAGCGTAGAGCCTGCTTGGGATTCTCTCTCTCTCTCTCTCTCTCTCTCTCTTTTTTTCCTTCCCTCCCTCCCTCCTCTCTTCCTCTCTCCCTTTTCCTCTCTCTCCCCCACTTACGCGCACTGTCTCTCTCTGAAACAACAACAAATTTTTTTTAAAGTAGCAATTAGCAAGGTTGTTCTCTTTTTATTAGCTGAGGCACACATTGGCTCCCCGAACTCATTCTGACCTCACCTGGGGATATGGAAAAAGAAATTTCTGGGTATATAAAGGGCCATAAAGCTTTACTGCAAGTACTGGAATGTGAACTTATGTTGCTGAATGTCATCATCTGTAAGTACAAATTTTATTTAAATCTCAGCAATCGTGTCAAATGCCGTTTTTGTAATGAACTGTGCTCTCTTTTGAGCGTGGCACTTGAAAAGGCATGTGCAGTATTCCTGTGTCTACATGCATTCACCTATGTATTTTCCGCGAAGGTCGTCTTGTGATCCTGCTGAACTCGGCCCGCGTTGATCAAGTACCTACTCGTTGATCAAGTACCTACTCCATGTTGAGCTCTGAGCCTTGAGGCAGTTTGTGATCTGGGGTTCTAGAAGAGACTGGCACAGAACAGATAGTTCCCCTACAGGTTGATAAGGGCACTGCGTGCTAAGAGGTGTGTTATGAGGTGCAGAAAGGAGTGTGGTGACCTCTCCCTGAGTCAGAGTTTCCTGGGGGACATGGAGTAGAAGCAAGTCTTGTCATCACTGTACCTCTGGTCTCTAATACCCAGCCTGACATAGCCCTTTAAGGAAGTGGGGCATGAAGCTGGCACACATAAATAAATGGGCCTTAAAACAACCTATACTTTATATCCTCGTAACTAGCAAATTGATAAGGATATTGAGGATGCAATGCAGTCATGTTCAAGGGGCAATTTTCTGAAAAGAATATTTGTAGTTTTTCCACCTGCCTTCTTTTTTGTTGAAAAAATATACAGTAAAGGAGAGGAGTAAATAGAATTAAGTAACAGTGATAAATCAGAAAAGAAATAACAGAAAATTACCTAGGTTTTCTGATCAAGCTTGTATCTTAGGACGTAATCTTATTACCTCTTATTACTGCTTTACCATGGTGCTCCGGTTTGGAATGTTTCTGGGAATCCTTCTTTGCATTGTTACAATGTTTATTCTTGATCTTTGACTTGTTATCCCACCTTTGCTATTTTCTGGCTTCAACATGATGCAGGGTGACTCATAAGCTTGGCTGTCAAAGAGAGAAACTGAGTGGTCTTGGGTGGTAAGATGTACTAGCCCTCCTTGGAGACTTGTGGGCAAGGACGGTGCTTTCATACTTCCTCAACTGTCAGAGTGTGCCTCGACAAATCCTCTGGGCCCAGCAGGTACCCCGTAAACCCTTTCGAATAAAGCCCAGCCCCCACCCCGCCCCCTCAAGCTGCCTGCTTAAGGATTTGGTTAACGACCTTGGTCAAGTTCTTCTAGGAGTGTCTTGTACTGTCAGAAGGAAGTTGTAATTCTAGCTTGCAATAGTCACTTCCATGAAGATGGATGTACCACAGATCAACTGAAAAGGCCTTGGAAATAAAAAAAAAAAAAAAAAAAAAAAGGCTGGTTCGATATGCCACGTTAGCAGAAGTTCATTTTGGGCTTTGCTTCAAAGCGGAGCACTGCCAAGAGACTGCTGTCTTGAGAAAGGTGCATTATGTCAGTCAGGAGGTAGGATGCTCACCCGCTAATGGTCAGAAAGATGACTGGATTTCCAAAGACATCGGTGGCTTCCTTGAATAGT